AATCAGACTGTTCAGATATAGCCAGGATAGGACCCCAGAAGTACCTTAGTGGGTAGCTACTGTCTGTTAACGTAGTACACTAAGAATCAAACATACTGCCTGCATGCCCTCTTGCATGGTATCCATCGACCTCAAGTCTCATATTCCTGTCCTTCACCAAAATGGCTATAGCATCAAGCAAATCTGTAGTATTCTAGGCATCAAGAAAACACTCATTTACAAAACTCTCAGACTTCACACCAAGTACAGTGTCGTGTACAACCCAAACACTTATTCCCATACCATCAGGTCATCATCGCATTCTCAGCCTTGAAGACATTCACGTTTATCCTTGCCATCATTCAACATCGCAGCACAATCTACCTAGATGAACTTCGAGAGGAGCTCTGGCTCAAGCATCAAGTTCATATCACTCCATCTACACTTTCTTGAACTCTTCAGGGCCTCCACATCACTCAGAAGGTCATCTCCACATCTGCCTCTGAGAGGAACGAGGAGTCATGCACGCTCTACATGAATCGCATTGCAGCAGAAGTGCCAGACCTGAATATGCTTGTCTTCATTGATGAAGCTTCCAAGGACAAGCATACCTCCACTCACCCACATGGGCGAACAGTCAGAGGTCTACATTGCCAAGTCAGGAGGTACTTCGTACATGGAATGTGCTACTCTATTCTCCCTGCCATCATGCTTGATGGCATCATCGCATATGATATCATTGAGGGCACTGTTGATGGAGAGCAATTTCTGCAATTTCTGAAGGAGCACATCATAAGTGAATCATCTTCAAGCCGGTACATGCTAATCTATCCAACAGATGCCTTTTACCAACCCATATCCTGGCCCCCACAGCATTATTATTATGGACAACTGCTGCATTCACCACAGTGAGGAAATTCACAAGTTAGTTGAAGATATGCATCATATGTGACTATCCATCAATTGATATTTCTTTCACTGACATCTCACAGTCTGCAAGTTGATCTATCTCCTGCCATACTCACCAGACTACAACCCCATCAAGCAAGCATTTTCTATGATCAAGGCATACTTGTGTCTCCACTCAGACGACTTATCAATGATGGTGATTGTTCGTGCATGTCAAAGTATTACACCTGAAAAGGCTGAGGGTTATTTCCATGCATCTGGGTACATAGTGTAGTGACTGTATCACTGTGTCTAAGTAGATTCCCCCTTCAATTACCAGTCGATTTTGCATGCAGGTTCAATGTAGTATGAATGTGAAAAATGGCCTCTAGGCTGACATTGCAATTGATATGATACCTATGTATGTGACATAGGCGTTACATGAAGCAAGGTATGTAGGCATTATGTAGAAAAAATGTCGTCCTCTGATTCCTCCCCAGTCTCATCAACAACGAAACCCTGGGGCACAGGTAACCACTGATCTTGACTCTCACAGTGATAATAAAGGTCGTAGTCAAGTGGGGCTGGCTTGCTACCATCATCATCTTTGTCAATCATCATCGGAGATGCTGTGAAATGACACCCACCACTGTCCTTGAATCACTTCTCATACACAATCTTCTTCAATGGCCTGGTGGGTGGGGATGAGGCTTGGCCCACTCACTTGTTGCCTGACAATGCCCCAGTGTCGCTACACTTCCTCTTCACATCAGGACCATTCCACCAAAGTAAACTTCCCTTCTTGAGACGAATGATGTCACCAGTGGCAATACCAGCCCTAGTGAGTGTCTGGTCATCAATATCCATGAGGATGTCAGGCCTGATCAACTGCAGTTCAAGTTCCCATTCATAGAGGGTGGCATTGTGAACACCAAGGTTCAATTCAGCATAGCAAAGAAAGCAGGAGAGATGAGATGGAGATGGGACAGGTGGTGAAATGGGAGGATCCTGTGGCATGCATGTGGGTGTCGCAGGAGGCAGAACTGGAGAAGTGCAGGCACTAGATACACTGGGTGACAAGAGGCTGGAATTTGCAAGTGTCTGAAGAAGGAGAACACCAGTAATAGAGTTGATATCAATATTTTGCAATGCCTGGGCTTGCACTTTGCAGGCTGGATGCAAAAACAGCACTTTGTTGCTCCAATTGAAAGACTTGAGGTTTGGGGGAACCAACAATGTAGCTTGCCCTTCATCCTACAGATAGTTTAGGGATAGAATGTTCATGAGTAGTGAAAGACTTACCAATGCACAGCACCAGTCCAGTACCATCGCAGGTGAAAGGGGGATTGGCCCTGCTGGCCTGACATAAGTCATTCCCTCATCATTCTCATTCTTGTACTGGCTCAGGAGTTTCATGTGCCACCGGGCAAGGTGCATATCAAGGTCTGAATGTTTCTGCTTTCCACTATCCTCACCAGACGAGTTGCTCTCATCTCCAGAGCCATTGATAGTTGGAAGTTTCTCCACATGTTTCATATCAACATAGATCTTCGTTGGGCCAGGGTGAATGCTACAAATCCTCTTGACCATATCCTTGTAGTCAACTTCATTATTGACATCGATTGCATTACTGACAGCTTGGCTAAGGTAAAGCATGGTTAGCACAGATTTGCAGAGTGAGAAATGACTTACCTCCACGCTTTGGGCAGTACAAACTTGAAGGGAAAATGTTTACTGCTTGATTTTGAAGGATGCTGTAGGTATCCTCAGTAGTGCAACAAGCTACTGATGTATTAGACCAACCTGTAGGTATCTACAAGACATCAGTAAGTGTAATACTGGTAGTGAAAGTGAGCTTACCCTCAGTAGTGCAACAAGCTACTGAGGGAACAGTGAATAAACTACTGTAAAATGTGCGCTCTAAGGTGATTATGTAAGCACCCAAACATCGCACCAAAGTGAGCAGAACACAGGGGAGAATATATCTCCAACACTTGAGACCCTATATTGTCCTTGACTATGCTTGTCCAGTACATGCTGTAGAAAATTGAGGTAGTTAGTATTGTTGACAGCAAAAGTAAGCTCTTTTGTCTTCATGGTCACTTTTGGCACAGTCTTTCCCTTCTCCTTTTTCTTGGGTCCATAGACAGAAAGTGAAATCGTGAAAGAATGTAATTTTTCTGCAACAGGAGTGGGGGATTGCGATGGTGATGAAATGTTGAAAAACAAGTCTGCTGTAGGGACGAAGTCTAAGTACATGCTTACACTACACAATGTTACCATAGAGGTGGTTTCGAGGTCCTATCCTGGCTATATCTGAACAGACTAATTGTCAAACAGATTTTCCACATCATTTTGCAAACAGCTGTAAGTCACATGGGGGTAGTCCATTCTCATTGGAGTAAGTCTTACAGTCACTCAGGAAGAACTGGCCAAAAGTCTCTGTTCAAGGTAGACTGGGGAGCAAGTACATCAGTAACTACAGTTTACATCAGTAAATCACTTTTGCTGGCCAGAGCTGTCCAGAGCTGTCCAGCACTGGACAGATTCCCTAGGACTACCAGCTCACAAAGTGGTCTACTGATGTATATACATTCAGAGTGTGGTGGGAGACAAACAAGTAACTAAAAAGGGAGGTATAAAGGAAGAGAAAGAAAAGGGAAAATAAAACATTATTATTCCGAGGTGTTAACGGTCATGTAAGATCGTGAATCGTTACAATTTGGCCCAGTTGAAGGAACTATTTTTTCGACATATTTCTGGAGCTCACACTCAACCATAAAAGAACTGTCTAAGCTGTTCTGCTTCCATTGGCAGTACCAAGTGAATGAAAGGCAAGTTTAGGCGAAAATTGATGCCTAATTCTGGTACATGTCAAGACTGCGACTTGAACTCCATCGCATGCAACTCGGCGTGAGTACTTCTAACCGCAGGAGGTTTCCCCTTTTGGTCTCTCTCTACCCTTCTAACTCGTGGAGTGCCCCCTACAGCAAGCCTTCACTCCGGCCAATAAACTGCCTGCAGTCGTTATCGCGATTTGTACAAGCTTGATTCAAGCAGGTAGTGAATTTCAGCAAGTTTTAAACTCCAGGGTGGCGGAGGTAATAAACGGGGTTATTTGACTAGGGCCCAGACGAGAGATGGGATTTCACGAAACGCCGGTGTCCCCTTCGATGAACCCCGTGGTACCTAGGGAATGGAAAGTCGATCAAATCCATCGTTCCCTGATGCAGGTTTCTGGTTAAGATCCAAGGCAAGTGGAGATATAATCAGCCAATAAAAACGGGCTTGTGCCATATGTGCAATGGTACGCGGCTTGACTCACCGTCTGCACGTGCTGCTAGTTTGTGATCAGTGGTTCACGGCAAAATCACAACGAGATCGATGATTGGGAGTGGCAAAATGCTGCGCCAGCCTGGTAGTAGCCTGGCTAGTATCAGGTGACTACATACGGCTGTTTCTCCGTGGGTTTCAACAATGTTGTTAAACCCTGGCGCAACTGGCCAGCAAGCGAGCGACACGCCGAGTCACGTTCAATCACAGCCCTTTGTTGGTTCACGAAGTAGTTACAGCAATTTGCGAAAATAATGTCAGTAGCAAAATATTTATGAGCGCGTCGTGCGCTCCGCCCAATAAGGAAATGTACCAAGCCAGCGTGAAACCACTAGTGAGACCAACTACTGGCATCACCGCGACTCACGAAAATCTCACTGGCGACGGGTCAGCGCTTCAGCACTCGCGGTCGTCGACGAAACGAGCAAGAACGAGCGCATGCCCTCCCAGCACAATGGAAGAGTAGCATATAGTCACTGTGCACAGCTAAAGGATGTGTTTATTCGAGATAATAGATACTATGTGCTGCCATGATAGTGGATGGGTACATTACAGCACGTGTTGAGGGCTCCTTCAATGCAAAGCAGTTTTACAGTTTCATTGCAGAAGAAGCGGTATGTATTTACTGCGCCATCTCAGGAGTACATGATGTAGTCTGGCCATATGCACTGGTAGTACGTAGGCCAACAAATTCCTACATTTCCATATCGGGCAGAACTCAAGCGCTCACGACGCGCTCATAAATATCTGACATTATTTTCGCAAACCGCTGTAAACGCTGAAACCTTCGCCGGGTAGCTCGACGCGAAGCCTGTGAATGTTTGACAACGATCTTACACGTGCGAAGACAACAAAGACAGAAAATCCATCTCAAAGTACCGATATCAATTCAGTTTCTGCTAAGGGATGCGATAACCTGAGTGGAAACCTTCTTTCTGCCCAAAGGATTCACGAATTTCGTCGCCACTTTGCCTATCTATAAGCTGTTTGTCTCAGGGAAGAAACCCGCTCAGTGGCTTGAATTGGCGGAATCTGAAGCACTTGATCCACAAGAGGTGCGGAAACAAGTATATCATTCATTGACAATGTTATACTATTACAATCTCCACTCTTGCTCTCATGACCTGGAGATGCTGATACATTACAATGGTGTCAACCTGTAGGTCGCTGGTCACTCTTCACCTTACTTGTCGTCAGCTCATGCAACGACGCAGGCGATGACATGCGCTTGCAGATGCTCCGGGACCCAGCATGCCTGCAGGCACAACCTTTATCACAGTTGTGGGAGCCCTTGTGGAAAGCAGTCGTTGCATGGACGAACTCCCAAACAAGGACGCGTTAACCGAGTCAGCTATCGACATCAGTATTGGTGACCTTGGGAAACGATTGAGGGCCCACCTTTTATCGCTTAGGTATCGTCGACGCCGTATGGACACTCGGGGACCAGGTCTGCGGCTCTACTTCATTATGTGCCAGCCGATCCTCTACATTGTTGAAGATTGCTCGTACGTCCTGCGCTGACCATGCATACCATAACTCACCACGCAACAGTTATATCATCTACCACCCTATATAGTCCACCTCGACGAACAATCCACTCTTGCCCTACCATTCGAACACTACCATAGACTGTCGATAGCAGATTCTTCGAAAAGCAAATGTTTCTTTCACTTGTAAAACTTCGTAATTATGTCCGTCACATACTTCCTCCAATGGCGTCCAGGGGCGCCCGGAGGGCTGTGGATAGTAATTATAATCTAATTTGTTTCTCCAGTCCAAGTCACCTTTACAGTGAGTCGTGGGCTATTACAGCTGGTGTATTTATAGTGCAGTGAAAGTTTGAAGCGAGTGTCATCATCGGAATTCTCGGATGTAAGCTGCCCCTCGACCACCTCGTTGCTCCATCCGTATTGCTTTGGTGCTCCCAGACGTTCTGCCCAGGAATTCACACCCCAAAACCACCCTCTGACACCATTCGAAACCCAACTAACGTCGATCACAAGAGATTCGTCGGCGTAGCCGGACTAAGGATACCGCGCTGGAACAACAGCGCTGTCAATCGGGATAATCCAACCAATTGCAGGGCGGTGATTGTCTTCTCGAGGAAAAGAACTCCACCGCAGTCACAGTAGTCACCGGCGCCGAAAACGACACTTCCGACGGCCCTTAGACAATCGAGGCGGTCGATGGCGAGTCCGACTCGATGACAACGATGAGGTAAATCGAGTTTTCCCATGTTGCCTTTGCCGCTCATTTCTTGCTTCAGCAACATATCAACTTCTAGATAGATCAGTTGGAGTCTTTGACCCTCTGAGACGGGATGCCAAAGACGACAAATCCTCATGTGGTCCCTACCCAGCGCTTGCATCACACTCCCTCCCCTCCCCCCTCATTCCCATCGACTATATCCACGCATCAGTTTCTGAAGCTCGATGACGGTGCCCCTACCGCTATGGCTCCACCAGTCCGTCCATAATCAGAATAGGAATTTTTGCCCAATAATCACGTCCCCATCTCTCGTCGAGTGTCACTCATTCCCTGCTCTGTAGAACACGGGAGGGTTGATCAGGCATGGACAACAACGCCCACGCTGAAGTTTTATGAAGCGTGGACGGTCTAACCATCAAGACTGCCTGTGTCCATGCAAGTATTGGCAGCCTCAACCGCATGAACCGCCCTAACACCCATGGAAGCACTGCAGGGAGGGAAATTCTGTCGCGGGGGAAACACAAAGGAAAAGTAAGAAAGGAACATGACAGTTCTGGTTCAGTGGATGTTACATGTGACGCTGGCGATGCGCGCACCCCCGCAGCCACGAGCAACGACGAGCAACAAGCTTTGTCAGGTCGTGACAAAACCCCTGGAAAGTTATCAATGCTCGTCTCAGTTTCACGTCGAACACGGGCCTGCATCCTCCATAGCGTACAACAGTACGCCCACGAGTTCTCGTGACTCAGCATTATTGTCTATTGCTGTAAGTATAACGTTTATCTCGCCTCCCTCTTTCCAGAATTTCCCACGACTCGATATGTATCAATACCGTGCACTGGTACTGTTGGAGCAAGACTGCTCGTCTTCGCACTCTGATTCATTGGGTGGTTTTGACTTCAGTTCAGACTTGGACACAATGTCCCATTTTACTGGCTCATCTCTGGATTCTTGATGGTGTGCCTGACGCTCACAAGCTTCGCAGAGGGACTACAGCAAGGGCCACAGTCAGCGCCTGGCTTGCGCAGCTGCTAGACTTGGCCGTCTGTCCAGCGTGACAGGGACTATTCACAGGAACGTGATTGCAACTACGGGCGAGCCCAATAGCGCGAGGACTTATGTTTGCCATCTTCCCCTCGTCGGTACTGAAGATCACATGATGGGAAGACGAGACTCGCCACCCCACTGCCGCCATGATTCACTCCCGCATCGTTCGCACATCAATGAGACAGAGAATGGGGATGTGGAAAGCCATATGCCGACAGGTGCGTCATCCGCAACAGGTCGGTGAGGTGAACTGCTGGAAAATTTATGGAAACTGACAAGGCCTTAGCGAACAGGTCTACCTTGGAATTCTTGGGCAGGAGTGTGGGATACAACAACGTCGTCGTGAGAGTAATTATATGAATGAGTGAGAAGCACTCGCTATATGGATGATCTGTGTACACTCGATCAGGCCGTCAATATTCTTCTGTAATGTCTGCACGTCCGCTGAGGAAAGCTGCTTTGCTCTTTTCTGCTCCTTTTCATGGATTTGGGTGTCGTTAGTGGAAAGAGACTTTTGAGAGGATTGCCATTGATGCACAGGTGAGGTGAAGCTGTGATTAAGCGCCTTCAACGTTGAACATCCTTGGCAGCAGAGCGGCGGGCTTATGTAACGTAACCTTATTCCCTCCTGTGGTTGCTTTCCTTCGTATCCCATCTTCCTAGGACTCCAAAATCTCGGAATCAAGATAGCCAGGCCCAGCTCCAGGGGAAACATATGCAGCTGAAATATATGAACGACTCGGCTACGTGCTGTGTACGATTTGAATGGCCAGACCACATTGGAGCAGACACAGGCAAAACTCCACAACCTATATGCGTTTGTGCCCTTATTTCCTGCTGTTTGAATATGAAAATGGCCAGCTTTGCGCTCTGAAATATTAGGTTCGAACTGAGAAGCAGTGGCCCCAAGAAATCAGGCAGTATCTGGTTGATAAAATGTACATATCTTTTTAGGGTCATCATCCTTCAGCCCTCACTTTATCGCATCCAATCCCGTCGACTCGTTTCACTTGCTCCCGCAGCGGTGTTTCCCCCCCTCCGCGGTACATGGTTTAGCATTTTAAAATATGTAGGAGCGTGCAACGCGCAGCCCACGACGCCATCACAGAAATTTACTCTGATTGGCATCACCGCACATGGCTGGTACTCCGATTCCTGTTCCGTCTACCTACTACCTACTTCTGTGCGGTTACCTGGACTTGTTTAGAGTTAAGTTCGATTTCGGGATATGTATCGGGCGCCGTGACGATTATTTTCTGCGTGCTTTCAGAAGCCTCGGAGCGCATTGTTTGGGGCACTTGTCTCCATCTGAAGGGGAGATTTAATTTACCCCAACTCACTGTCGGTGATTGCCACCCATCGGAATTTGCTATGAACAGGGTGAAATATGTAGGAGCATGCCACCAACGGAAACTTGCTGTGATTAGCATGTAGCTATGATTGTGAGTCGCACCCTCTATCTACGGGCACGCATTCCATTACCGCACGCGGCTGGTACTCCGGTTCCTGTTCCGTCTACTTATTTCTGCGCGGTGTCGCCTAGACTTGTTCAGAGTTAAGTTTGATCTTGGGATATGTATCGCGCGCCATAATGATTATTTTCGTGTAGGGCACTTTTCTCTGTCTGAAGAGGAAATTTAATTTTCCCCGACTCACTACGGTGATTTCCGGGTGGGCTTGTGGTCCAATAAAGCGAGCACCTAGCTATTATTGATGATGGGGGTACGCAATACGGCTTGATTCCTGCTGCAACTGTGATCGGATTGATTTCACAGTGCAGCTTTACCGCGCGGATATCTGGAGTCAATCTTCTCAGCGGACAGCGGTCTCATTGTTAACGCAATTGTTAAGCACTTCTCATGATTCGGATTTCTAATCCGTTCCTAGTTACTCTATGTTATCGGCCTATCGCGATGGCAAATTCTGACATTGCAGATGTTTGGCTCACACAGGAAACAGACAATGCAGCTGAAGACAAAATTCCCCTGTTCTGAGGTCAGGAAGGTTTCTGGTCAACAGTATAGTAACTGATAAGTGGGTACTAGATCTACATGAGCACCTGCGGAGCATCATGTCTTAGCCTGCATTCATTGCTCAGGCTAATGACCGACAAAAGCCCCTGACGGAAATAGAGCTTCTTATGAGAACATGGACAGTGCATGGTTCAAATAAACACGAGCAGAATGGAAGCTTCTGCTACCTTTGTTTTCTGCATGCATCACTCTACTTCCACATACCACTTCTGGGTGTCGTTTTCCGCGAGGCTTCACCGTCTTCACTTCACAGATCCGATTGCACGCAGGTCAGAAGGCAGGCGTTGCGTTGATAATTTGATAATAGGCACATCCATAGCTCCTTCGAAGACATATTGCTTACCGCTTGATCCCATTGCCTGATTTACTGCGCCACGACGCTGTTGGCCATTCGCAGCAGATCAAACAGACTTGACCTGCGTCGCTTGCGTAAACATCCCATTGCACGCACACCCACTGGGCTTATAAAAAGCGATGTGTTGTCACAAGAAACATAGCGCATCGACAATGTCTAACGCAACATACCCAGAGCGCCCCCCTGCTGTCCCAGAGGGGCTAGAAACTGTGACATCAGAAAACTCCACTCCCAATCTCTCCCAGAATATTCCTGTTCAAATGATTTGCCCAAATTGCAAGTCTGCTTACCTATGTTTCCAAGGCCAGGTATTTTACGATGCTGGTTCAAAATCCCAGCACGGCGACGAGGCCCCCGTTCACTTCCAGGGCATCAACACGTAAGTCGCCACTCTCTACTTCATTCGGTATGCACCTCATGCAACGGCACAGGCGTTCATACACACTTGATGGCGCTGTGTGATACGCGACACCGTAAGTTACTTATCCGGTGCCGTTGTACGTGCGCAAAAACTCTATCATCAGGTAATGATGATTGCGGTGGTTGCTGGTTTAGTAGCACCTTAGAAGACCTTAAGAGGACGAGTATGGAATCGGCGCTACTGCTGTTCTGGCTGCTGAACTGTAAATGATGTTTGCTGTATGTTTTCTGTACATTCAACTTCAGTTCCGAAATATGTACAATACAATAAAACACTTGCTCTCAAAGGCGTGCATCACACCCGAAGGAAGTTTCAGCATATTTCCCGGATTCTGGATCGATAGTCGCATGATTTCTTCAATTCACAATGTCAGACAAACAGCGGCGGCCCAGATGCCACGGAGCTATTCACAGCGGGCATGAGAATCATCACTAATGAATCGAGCTCAACAAACGAAGGAGTGACCTTGTGGTGTAACAATAAAGCCTGAAATCAAAAAGCTGGCCTGGGCCTATTGCTCACAGCAAGGCAAGTTTCGGCGGGCCAACTTCGGCCGCCAAACGCTCGGTTCCAAATCATAAGCGGAGTTTCAAGTTGGAGGCAAACACCGTTGTGCTGTGGGCACGGACACGATTTTTGTCTCCGACGTGAAACTCCGATACTGTGGGTGTGTGAACAAACCTTCTGCTGTGTGACTGCCGTAAGAAATGTCCTCCTTACATACTGTAATTTATGGCTGTCGCATCGCAAATTGTTCTCTTATGCACCGTTGCCGCTAGACCTGGAGGAGGGTACACCGGCGCTGACTATGAAAAGAAATGTGCCGACTTTCCTGTCCCACTACCTTGATTCAGGTTTCCTGGAAAGCCTGATGAGCTGGCCGCAAAGGGGGTGTCCAATGTAAGCATTCCTTGCGTTCTGACATGCAGGCGTGCGCGCCGTCCGTGTCCCATGCATTCTATCGTTACTTAGGATTTTGTGAGCATTCCGCATGTAGTTCCGACCCGGCAGTTTCGTCTTGTCCAATCAGCTACGACAGCCTCTATTGCAACAATGCCAGCCTCCTTCGTGAGGTCTCGACCAAATTCATACCCTCGCAGACGAAGGTCCAACTGCAAAGCCGTCAATGAGTACTCAGGAGCAGAAAGAAGGCCGTTATCGAGTTCTCATCGCCTGATGTCTCAAAGCAAAACCATTCTGTGTCAAACACCTCCGAAGTACCATAATCAGCCCATTCTTGGTCAACTTGTGCAAGGCTCGTAGCTGGGAGGCCACCTCACAAATATCTTGACGCTTGAGGACTGCGGGTAACCCGTTTCATGTGCGTTGTGCGTCAACGTGACACTTCTCGCCGCGGTTCAGTTCGGCATGATCACAGTCGGTTTCGAGGAACACGGCTCTCTGGAAGAGCTCAGAAAGGATGGTATCAAGCATCTCTACGACGTATACGTTGAGATGTCCTGAGAGGCAGAATGCGATCTTAACGTTAAAAGTCCAAGCCGCTCAATTTCATCGTCAAGGAATACGCCGAGTACGATCGATTAAACCTCACCTTTGATTCCTACACGAGCGAAAGCGGGCCGGCAGAGAATGGCGAGACAAGTAGCACAACTCGACTAGCTGGGATTAGTTACTGACGTGAATAGCGTCAGCTTTTCTCGACCCGGAAAGATGGAAAATAGGGAAATCGATCCTCTGCGAAGCAGGTAATGTACCTCCTATATCCGATTGCATTAACTCATGATATAATCGAAGACGGTGTATCCCTATGGATCGCTGATCGAACGTACCAACAATCCCATTTCGACAAGATGATATGCGCCGTCGCTTTGCGGCAGGATCTTCATTTCGCCCGGTTCTTCGAAATCTTAGATCTGGTGGGTTTCCCCATGGGTCAATCGACCCGGGCACCTGAATTAGTACGGATTGTCGTCGGGTATGAGTACCAAGGAAGGGTACCCCTGTCTTTCTCGATCAGATCATCAAAGAGACGTCATCTGTCAAGCACGAGCAAATGAAGCGAACGAAGAAAAGCGCAACGCCTTTGAGGATCCTGAGACAGTCAGCCATTAAGATCCAAGACGAGCGGTACGCAGTGTCTACCAATTACTGATCGCCCACTAACACGCTGTTGGAATAAACATTTATACCTGCAATTGAGACAGGAAGTTATCCTCTCAAGGCGGCTCCGGACCTTACTTGCAGTACGCTCACAGCTTTTGCCGCTGCCGACCCCATCCTAGATCGAGGCATGCCTGAGATATAGCAGTCTTACTCAGGACCTACTCTGGTGTTGTCGCAACGGCTTTGAAGATACAGTAGAGTAGTGACATTTTGCCTTCCGCTTGTCCCGCACTATCATTGCTGCATAGGACACCCTCGTGGCTAAGGGCCTGGGTAATGCAAGGGCGAGGTTATGGTTGGATCTCTGCGCACGGGGTGTCAATGGTGCTGCGATGCGATTGTTACTTGTCAGGTGCAAGGCTGTTAGAGAGGATGTAATATTGGACTGGTCTATTGGATCGTCGCACCCGTATGTTCCAATTATAGTTGTAGCACGGTGTACATATCCGGGCAAGAAAGAATCTTGATCTTCCACGGACTTTCTCCGAGACATGTTTGGGTATCATCATCCCGACCTCGGAACCTATGCTATATCAGTGACCTCAACCAAAACGTAACATGACTAGACTTACGTGGCTGAGCATATCCACTTCGTGGTTCATTATGAGGTATAAGATGCTCACGACGTGAGTAGATCCCAGCACACCACCGATGGCGTTGACGGTGACCTCTTGCTACTTCATGCGTTCTCAAGTCTCCAGCCACATTGCACAGCATGTATGCCTCCTGTCTTTCCAGTTTATGTTCGGGCTTCCCTGATATCTGTCGGTCGATGCAGTAACACTTTCGAAGGTTTGAAAAGAGCGGTATGAACCCGAACACTAACCAGAATCAACGCCGATGCGCAATAGTATTCCTTTTCTCCAGCATCAGGACTGGTTACTTTAAAGTTGGAATATTTTGCGTAAGGTTTGTCCTTGCGGACTGTGAACCACGCAACGACCTTCGCCAACTCTTCGGTAGCAGTGCCCATTTTGATGACTCGTATGAATTAGAGAAGATCATAGACGGAACCAAGCGTACCGCAATCCTCTATGGGGAACGCTCGTGCATTCAACACTCTTCCGCGGACACGGCTAACGATTAGCATCACTCAACTTACCTCTCCATCACCTCGTGCAGCATGTACATCCCGGGGCGGATATCCGCAATAAGCCTAACATCATCCACGACGCCTAAACCACCAGAAGCCAATCTAGCCACTTACCCCGATGGAGAAAAGTGCACCTTCCGCCTGTGGGGGTAGATACGGCGTCGAGCCCCTCACACAAATGCTTCATGTCTATATTTTCACCAGTCATATAAAGTGGAATAGTCGACCACGGTCCAGGTGCGCCATGCGCCGCACCCACCTCACCGGCAAACGGGCGAAGGAATAAGCACACGTATACTTTTCTCCTTTTCCAGGTACGTATTGCGGAGACTTCACACCGCCGTCTCGTTTCCACATCCATCCTTATGCCAAGTACTGGTACTTACCGGGGTGAGGTCCCAGATCTTGAGGATAGCCTCGTAAACTCGTCTGCGAGAAGCCCAAATCCCAGAATGAGTGCGGTCCAACCCCAAGCTCCAATCCTCACTTCGAGCATGTTAATCTAAAGTGTGTCCCCCCGGGTTTGCTCCTTCAACATACTCAGGCCCATTGACTTGATAGCGCAAGGCGAGAGGATGTCACCATAGCTCACGATGGAATGGTTAGGACCGGTAGGATGCTGCTTGAGGGGAAAGTCCGTAACCAATGCTCCTTCGGGCATGTCGATACGGTGAACGAACCTGACGTCCTAAAGCTAGGTGACTTTGTTCGCGTTTACAAATAACAAGGGTTGAAACGTTGACATCTCGCGGATCTACGAATGTCAGATAATGTAAGCGATGGCTCATTACAGAGTTAGATTTCGCAAAGCTCTAAATGTACTCCTGTCAACTGGGGTAAGTCCTGTGTCGCACACAGATGGTAAACCAAGACACATGTCTCGTGTGTCGTGGCCACACTATATCCTCTTCATTCGCCATCATTCAACCCCTCACTCTGCTCCGAACTCTTGCCAGTTAACTGTACGCGAGGGTGGATCGTAACCTCCAAAGGAAGTTAGGTCTGATAGGTGCCGCATCGTGGGCCTTCCATGAGGACAATTCCAAGGCTGGTCCATAGATGCCATGTGTCGTACGATCTGCTCGCGCCGAAAGCGCATTCGCATCTGACGTGTCAGTTTCAAGCGCGAAGAAATTGGCTGAGGAACACACAGTAGTCATACGCAACTTGTCTAGCGGTCGCCCTATCATGACGCTCCGTCGACAGGCACGCATCGCAAACATAGCGCGCGCTTTCGAACATCGTACCATCGTACCCCTTGGACGGTCTTGCATGAGGTGGATGAGCTCTTCCAGATCTAGTAAATATGCGTCTGCTGGTTAGTGATGATCACGTGCGTGAAAGCGACGGGTACCTTTCATGTCGAACACCGTATCCTTGGAAATAGGTTGTGCCATGAGGTGCAATCGAGCGTTTGGCGAGCTTTCTTCCTCATCACATTCAATGTCAGCAGCGCCAGCTTGGTGATCTACGCCAGCCGACACCTCGACCGGGCCGACCTCAAAACCGTTGCGTTTCAGGACATCCATATTCTCGAGTGCAACCAGCTCATCCGCTGCTGTAAGATTCAACGGTCGAGGCCTATGGGAACAATTGCTGTTGTTAAACTAAACAGGAAGACAGGCGTGAAAATACAAGTGACCCGTACCTGAACAGCCGCTGGGACTCGATAGCTGTTGTCTCTTGCAAAGTTTCAAAGTTCCATTTTTCATCTGCGGCATGTTGATCTACCACGAACAGGTCATCCTCCACGCTTATCTCGGCCACTGCCTTATCCGTATCCACCTCTGGTGTGCGTTTTCGAACGATAATAAAGCCAAGATTAAATTGTCCCACCACGTCCATATGCATGAAGTCTCCCTTGGAAATAATCCGAGAGAGGGCAGCAGAGGCGATTTCGTCTGAAGGAGCGCTCACGAGGTTGGCGTTTTCGATAGCTACGTCGTTTCTCTGCGCGGCTCCATTCTGCGACCGTATTTTAACCAATGACGAGGTTAAATGACTTCGGGCGCCCAAATCCTTGTAACGGACTCGCAATGTATCTAAATCGACACGAAGTATGACGTCGTCATAGGATTGCGGCGTTTTGCACGGTCCAGACCTTGAAACCACCCTCGCATCATCAGGAACGTGACTCTCTACGAGTGTCGGGCTGACGTCCCGACCTTCTGGTGTGAGGTCTGTGACGCTAGGGTCCTCCCGCACAGTTGGTAAATTTCTGGACCGCCGTTGGTTCAAACTGGAGCCGAGAGAATGCGCACGTGAGGACGAAGGTCTTGGCTTTGAAGCCACCTGAGCACGTTCTACATCCACCTCTATTCCAGGCACACCCTCGTCCTCGGAAGCGACGCAAAGTGTGTCCTGGGACGAAGGTCTGTCATCCAATTCCAAGCTCGGTTCCCTTGGAGATTTTTTCTTTGGACAGGCAAGCAATAGTCGCGACGACATCCCTCTGAGAACGGTATTCTCGTCCTCGTCGACCTCCATCGAATCATTAGCGGAACCATCGTCGCCACCCTTCCCTATCCCTCGCCGAGTGCCCTCAGCGACAAACCTCGAAAGATCCCCTCGTCCAGGCCCAGTATCGGTCACCTTCGCCCGCTTCGCAAGCCGTCCATCCCACCCACCACCGTCACTCGTGTTTTCCCCCCAAACCCTTTTCAAATTCCACACTGCCCCACTCGTGTTCAGTACGGTCTGTGCTGATCGTGGCTTCGCACGGTCGGTATCCGGATATACTGGTGCGACTTCCGATCCTGACATCGATACGGGCAATCCTCGCACTTCGCTAGTCGAAAAAGGTGCTCTAGGCCTTGGCGCCGATGGGGGACCTTTCCGTCCCTGATCTACACCTTTCCTTCCCATGCCATTTTCTACACCAAGCTCCTCATCCGCTATATCCATGTCGTCACTCACGTATCCTGGAGGGAACGTCGGCTTTTTTCTCGTGCTTGTGTCCGTAGCAGCCTCAGATTCCAGTTCCTTACCCATTCGGGGAAGGCCAGCATTTGGAAGGGCGTGCGCAGGCGCGACGAGTGTAGGTGACGGAGGCCGGCATCCGTCTCGATCGTCATTCCCATCTGATGGCTCTGGAGAATTGTGCGGTCCGCCAGATGTCAACGGTTCTACTACTGATCCCGAGTCCCCAGTTGTCAGCGTCCGATGGCCACTTTGCGACCCGCCGGGTGAGGGTGCGGATGAAGGTGATGGAGCGAGAGGGTGTCCTTGGAGTTTTGTTCGGGTTTTATCCGACGTCGACTGCTCGCAGGTGACATTAACCTCGTAGGTCGAACGCGCAGACGAAAACACTTTCTCGAGGGATTCCTGACCATGCACATACAAACGAGTGGCAAATAACGCGGAGAAAACCATTGGAAAAAAGACATTAAAGCGTTTGCAGGACGAATCACGCAACCTACCTTGAGAGCCAGTACAAAGTTATTTTCGCTGTGCAAGAAGATGGTCCGTTTGTCTGGGCTTACGTTGATATCGCAAGCATCTGCGAGTCGAATGTTGACGATGAAAGTGACCAGACAGATAGGTCAAACATGAACGAGGAGACTGTATGAAACAGGTGATATAAGTAACTTACGTGTAGGGAGGACGAAGTCTGCGATGACGAATGGGGCCTGGCTGATATTGAAAGTGCGGTATACCTCGTTGAAGGCTTTTTGAACCTGGTGTGTCAAGCCATCAGCGGGTATCGCTGCTCCTGTCAAATAAACCAACCTTTCCTGCATTGTATGGCCGCCCGTTGATAAAAAAGTATTGACGATCGTTCGTGGTTCGCCCAGCACCAAGCGTGAACTTAGACATGAGGCCTTGTACACGAACTGGTGTGATAGGGGAACTAGCACTCAACGTTCAACATAGAAAAAGGAGTATAAACACTGGAATATACGTTTCTGAATCATTGCTTGCTTGCTTCTGCCTCCTAAGAACACTCTTCTCTGTTTCCACGTGGAAAGAGAGATCAAGGTCGGTGACGTTGTCCAACGCCCTGGTTCCCCAGAGTGCAGTGACGGATGCACGTAGAGAGGGAGTCCCGTCCGTCTTAAGTTGTACGACTTTGCGGCTAAAGGGTGTTCACGAGAATTCAGAACGCAGCACCCTGACTCACCCATTCTCCATTTGATTAGTCACTGTGAGGCGGACACCCTTATTCTCTTTTGAACAGGGGACGAGCGCATACGCGTGCAATATGCTCAAAGCTTTCTGAAACTCGCGTTTGATGTTTCTCTCGAGTTCCTTTCGGCGCACAGGAAGGGGCCTGAATAGATTGGCGACTGTGACTGTCATACCTCGCTGGGCGCGAAAACAAAGTCCAATGAATAATCATTTCGACTTTGGTGCGGACTGACTACGACATACCTGTCGGGCAACCTTAACTTTCTTACTCTTAAGCCTCCCGTTTCCATCTACTTCGAGGACTGTACCCATCGGAGCTTCTGAGGCCGTCGCTGTCGCGATGGTGAGACCATCGCTTAGGGCGCAAAGGGAGGAAAGGGCCTCCCCGCGAAAGCCAAAAGTGTGAATGCGAGAGACATCTTCAAAAGACGATAGTTTCGACGTGTAGTGTTTGAGTGCTTTAGAAAGTGTCGGAATGTTATGGTTGGTCGACCAACAGGATATAGTACACAAAGGAGACTTGCTCACCGATTCCTTCGTAGTCTCGTGGTGCGATGCCAACTCCGTTGTCGACGACCTCGATGGACTTGAGTCCGTAGTTTTGAAAGCGAACCTCTTTTAATAGACACATAGAATGCGAACAGAGTTCAGAGCGTGAAACACGAATGGCAAGTAACATACCGATGGCAGTCGCCCCAGCGTCTAGCGAATTTTCGACCAGTTCTTTGACCGCTGACTGTAAATCTATAACAACTTGACCAGACGTGATGCGATGAACAGTGTGCGCGTCGATTGCTCTGATACTGCCGCCTCCACCGCTGCCAGGCATGCTTTCCCCGAATCACCAGACAGATGGACGGGTGACCGGAAACCTTACTACTCAATAGCGCATCGAATGCTGGTAGTGTAGGTGCCGGCTTGGACCAGCCGAGTGGTAAACCTGAGCAATTTCTCACCACGTCTTTGTTGCGCCACCGTTCAGCGGGTCTCCTCGGCGCCCACAGCTCGTTACTCGTTTCGCCCGTCCTCCACACTGTGTTTACCATCACTACCGACCGTAATTTGCATAAAGTGGCTTTTCCCCTCAGTAACACCCACTGCAAGCTGCACACTGCACAGTACGGCCCATAGCCCCTCCGTCGCGCATATCACCCGTCACTGTCAGATGCAGCTAACGCTGGGTCAAATACAGTCTTCTATCAAACGATGTTCATACTCATATAACCAGTTATCGCAGTACGTGTCACAAACACTCCTCTGTACATGTTTGACCATGAAACTTCAAGGGATCTGGATTGGAATGACTATTTTACCTACTTACACGTATCATCGCCTCCTTGCCCTGAGTAGAATCCTCTTCGCAAGGGGAATATGTTCCGGTGACTGCCAATCAAGGGAGATTTAATAAGGAAAAGAGGATGACCCTCTTCCTTCCTTTTTGCCACGCATTCGATGCATTTGACGACGTGGAAACGAATGGGAGCGGTCCACGCGTGCTCCGACCCTGCAGAGTGAGTACTAGTATATTTTATCAGGCCATTCGAAGCCAGAAGAAAGCAATGGTTCTCTTCCCTTCCTTATGTCTTGTCCTAGCAACTGGAGCGATTGCTACAGGTGTCTTAACAGACTCACACACGATCAGCGAGACTTGCGAGGTCATTGCCGCTGCTGTCTCCTCCGCATCCGCAGTGCACTACTCTGGTGCGTCGGTCTGTTCCTTATATTCTTCTATCTCTAGCTTGATTTCACAGGACCTTCGTATGAGGAGGGCATTCGTCATTGGGCCTCCTCAAGTACGGAGCGGGCGAGATGTTCATTCGAGCCGGGCACTCCCTCAGACGTTGTGATAGCGGTATGCCCAGAGTACAACCCGCTTCTGGCTGACTTTGAGCGAGACTCTTTCAGCTACAAATTCTGGGGAAGAACAGGGTTCCTTTTGCTGTCCGTCTCCCTTAAGTAGTAAACTGTTCACACTGCCTAACTAATTGGTCGTTTAAGGTTAAAGGCGGCGGCCACACGCTGAATCCGGGCTTCTCCTCTACCACTGGCGTACAGATTGTGATGTCTAGGTTCTCAGAAATCGTGTATGATCCCGAATCACGGACTGTGACTGTAGGGGCCGGTGTGATTTGGGATGATGTTTACGCCGCTCTCGAGCCTCATGGCGTGAATGTCGTTGGTGGAAGAGTAAGTGGAATAGGTGTCGCGGGTTTCACTCTTGGTGGAGGTATGAACTACTCTCAGAGTTTAGTGCAGCCCCTAACTGAGTCTCAAAGGATACTCGTGGCTAACGAATCAGTACGGCTTGGCGCTGGATAATGTCGAGTCCTTCGAGTTGGTTCTGCCTGACGGCGCAGTGATCGATGTCACGGAATCATCACATCCTGATTTATTTTTTGGTCTCAGGGTGCGTCATCGACATCCGTTTTATGTGGCGAACCTCCGGATAACCCAATTATTTGTTTTAGGGAGGTTATGACAATTTCGTGTGTAGCAATTGCCTTCGCCGCCATCTTTAAGTTAGACTGACAGGTTGCAAGGGTATCGTAACGAAATTTATTTTGAAGACTCATCCCCAAGGGCAAATCTGGGTTAGTCTTTCCGTAGCGTGCTATGGCACGTTAGAGTTAAACCTCGATTTCAGGGTGGGGTCATCATCTATCCCGAGGCTTCTGTCAATCAAGTTATCCGTGCGACTGCCAACTTCTCAGCGAATAACAGCGACCCCAAGGCTCAGGTTATCATGACGACCAATTACGCCGCCGGAAATGTAAGCTATGTTCATCCCAACCTATCACAACGTACTTCTGATAAATCGGAAAAAGCACTTACTAGTCACCATACTTTTCTACGATAACCCAGACCCAGCACCTGGGGTCTTCGATACCTTCTTAGACATCCCAGCGTTGATCAGGGATATCAAGACGCGGTCATTCCTATCTCTAGTCCTAGCAACTTCTTCATGGCCGGAGACGGATTCACTGCCATTAGCGACGGGAGTGGAGCTCCTCCCACAAGGGTTGGTGGTCGAAGAACTCTCCTCGTTTCAGTCATCCGAAGCTGCCCCAGTCAACGCTACTCTATCATTGCGGTAAGTCAAGTGTCGGTCTGCGTCTCGGGGGACAATTTTGGCTTATATCACTCAGTGGGATATTCGCCACCGTGACTGTGACAGAATTTTCTGCGGACCTAATCGAAGCTGCTATCAACGAGTCCATCGTATGTTCACACTGCAATTTTAGGACAAGGGAAATTAATTTTCTCCATAGCACTGGGGACAAACGTTGTTACCCTTTTCAGGGGTATTCATTTCGTACGACTTCTCCCCCGTGATGCCGGCGGCGCTGGGACACAGCTCTACCCCATCTGCCTGGCCGCCCACGCATAAAGACGTCGTGATGCCAATTGTTCTATACTTCGCGTGGATTTCTGAGCTATCGGACGGCATGATGCATGACGGTGTTCGGCAAAGCGCGTCTGCACTCCTTGATAAAGCGGACTCCCTTGGCCAGGACGTCAAAGATGCCCCACTCTACAGCAACTGTGCCCTCTTTGATACTCCGTTGGAGCGCATGTATGGCAATAACGTTGAGCGACTAAGGAAAATCAAGAACCACGTCGATCCTTACAACGTGATGAATCTGGCAGGTGGATTCAAGTTCTAATTTGATCAATAAATGGAAGAGAAGGAATGACCATCTTCCTTGGAGGCTGCGAGAGAGTTGTAGGCAGGGAAATCCACTTACTGTTCGTATATACTAGGGAAAACCTCTGCAGTGCGCGCACTACTGTTGTATTTGAAAACTTAGACACTCAGATTGCGTACCGCGGGCAGGTCGTTCTGCAATTCACTTCTCGAGCCATCCCCCTGTGACACCGACGTAGGGTCGAGCCACCCTGTGTGTACAAAGACGGTGCGAGGCTGTAAACTGATGGGATCCGTGGGGTATGGCCAAGCTCGATCATTACCTTGGTAGGCAAGCGTGCAACGTCAAATCGGATGAGACCGTGCCGCTCCACGTCCAATGCCAGCAAAAGAATTCGACTACGTTTAGTATGTACTACTAAGGACGAATCTTCAGGAGAGACAACCCGGGCAGGGCCGGGCCCTCTGCTTTTCGGCAACAGAATTGAACCGAAAAAAAAACCGTACTAGTATATCGTAATGCGGGCGTCTTTGATCAGTGGAGAACGCTGTGGAAGGGCTATCCATGGAAGCTGACGTATCAGCCGGATCGTGTTACTGGTTACAGTACGATCGACCTGGTGTCGCCATCGCTAGTAGCAGAAATTCGGCAATCAAGAGGGAATGGACGTGGCACCTCGGTACTAGCAGAAAAGAGGGGAGTAACGAGCTACCAATGATCCTGTTCCCAACCTCGCGGTCATGCTTAAGGTCTCGCAATACGTGTATCACTTGTCACTGAGGAATTTTGTATCTCGAGTTTATGTAAAAAAGGTGTCTTCTGGGTCATATCGACCTCATTGATGGCTGGAGTTATGTGCTACCCATGCATAGATGTGTGGTGCTGAGAGGCAAGTGAGTTGATGTTTTCAGCGAAGGCGAGGTTCACAGTTTACCCAAGACACCGGAGATACAAGCTGAAAATGTACCCCGGGGAGCGGCCAGGCTCTTTTGCACTGCCATTTGGAAGAATTGCGGAAGAACTGGGTGTGTGTTTTTGGTTTATCCGTCTTCTTGGCCCGGTCTTCTATATCCTATGCGCTATGCGCAGCATGTCAGCATCTGAACCAACTTTACAGCCCATCTTGGAATAGATGTGGTTTTGCCGAAAGCCTTGATGGCGGAGTGCCATCCTGACTCAAACCACTCGCTGCGTGCCCCGTTATCGATGCTGGTGTCAGGGGCGAAATTGAAAGTAACCCGGGCAAGTGAATACAGATAAAGAAGGGGGCGAGATAATCGGCCTCTACGGTCGCCTTGGTAAAAGTGTGACGGCGTTGGAGGGCGTTGGGTAGATGTTCACATTACAGTAGTTGGACTGAAGTGTAGACAGCCATCATAAACGTGGTCGTTCAACATTATGCCCTGCCGCTAGTGTCGCTGGTATCAACGATGTTGTCAGGATTCATTTGGTGTTCGTGAGGCTCTTAGTACATTTTCGCACATCAACTTGTTTGTCCGTTCATGCATGTCATATCGTGCTACTTATGTTGAATAACGTATGGACACAGGCGACGTCGAGAGGGATTCGATTCGGTAAAGGCGGCAAGCACTGGACTTCATTTTGGAAGCTTCAGACGCTGCCAGGTGCAGTGCAGATTGCCTTACGGAACAACACCGGCGTCGGTGGCATTACTGAACGTTGAACTTCTACCAGACGTCTCTACTACAAATCAGCGGCAGCGTAACTTCACTGAGGCCGGTGGGACTTGAATTTCGCTCGCAACCTGCTATCGAGAGAACTGACTGCCAATGATCTAGCTCACATCCTCGACCCTGGGTAATACAGAACAGACAGTGCTTGTCGACGAACCAAGTTTCCTGTCATAATTCCATTTCCTTCCTAGTAGCGGTATGGCTGGCTTGACGCCCTTGCAAGAACCGCCGAGGTGGAACCACACCCCGGAAGAGGTGATCCAATTGATCAGTGGTGCCATCGCGAAGCGCAAGGTCATCAGTGATGAGGTCGCCGCTCTTTTCCCGGCTGAATGTAACTTCGACACGGTGAGGGCTCAAGTTATACTGGTCGCAAAGGCCTGAAACGAGCCGCATCCATTGATAGGTATTTGTGAGTGATCGCGCCAGAGCCTTGCTCGTCGTACTTGACTCAGAAGTGTAAACACCAGGCACGGCTCGCCGACGCAGAGGGACAATTTGATGTCGCAACCCAGCCTCTCACATTCTACCAAAACGTTGCTACGTCCAAAGAGCTCCGCGATGCTTCCACTCAAGCAGAACAACTTCAGAAACATTTTGGCATCGAAGAATCCATGCGTCTGGACGTCTTCCAAGCTAAAGTTGCAGCTGAGGAGAACTTGCATGTTTCTGGTGCCTTTGAGAAGCTTACCAGCGAGCAACAGAGATTGGTTGAGCAGATGGTCCTTGATGGAAAACGCGCTGGGTTGGCTCTTCCGGAAGAGGAGAGAGCCAAGCTCGCGGCTCTCCAAAAGGAGTTATCGCAGGTGGTCGTAGAAGCAATGGTACGTACATATTATCATTTTCGACCCGCACCGATGGGGTCCTTAGAGCTACTGCTTCGAAGAGAAACTTTAATGAAGAAGATGTAAGTGTACTTTTAGGGTGCCCGAGTGGCCTGCAACTGAATCCCTGAACAGGGTTATCTCAGTTGTACGCGCGATGAACTCGAAGGTGTCCCGGACGACGTCATTTCTGGATATCTGAAGTGCACAGAGGACGACAAGGAAGTCTACCATGTGACTTTCAAGACACCTGATATTCAACCGGTCGTAAGTTTACATTACCAACCGTGGTTCTGAAGCATTGATCCAACAATGCAGTTTGGATTTGCTATCAGTCCAGTTATGCGTCAGAGAGCATATGAAGCACACGAGTCTAAATTGGTGATAAATGTTCCTCTTGTTACACGTGTCCTCGACCTTCGCCGCCGCATAGCTACTATGTTGGGTTACAAAACATGGGCAGATTACATCACTGAGGTAAAGATGGTGAAGACTGGTAATGCTGCACAAGTAGTAAGTCCCTTCGTTTGCTAGACCATATCAACATACTCCTAATAGTCTCATACGTAGTTCGTAGATCACCTTGAAGCGAAGCTTCGACCCCTTGGTATCAAAGAACACGAAATTCTGCTCGCACTAAAGAAAGAGGAACACGAGAAACGTGGCTTGCCCTTCGATGGAAAATTTTATATTTGGGACCATGGGCAAGTCTCGTGTTGCATCATCGTCATCATCTGCTCTAATGATATCTAATCATGGTACTATTGTCCAGGTACTACAATCGTTGTTTCGTCGAGAAGACTCTAAACCTCGACGTCTCCCTCGTGAAAGAGTACTTCCCAGTCTCGGTTGTTGTCTCCACTGTCCTCAGCATCTATCAGAACCTGTTAGGTGTCAAATTTGTGGAGGTAACAGCCGAGAAGAAAGATGTTTGGCATGCTGGTAAGTTTAGCCAAACTTCTAACATAAGTCGATTGTTTTCTTCACAATTTATCCCAGACGTCCAGCAGTTCACCGTGTGGGAAACGGATGCAATGAACGAATCGAGTTTCGTCGGTTACTGTTACCTTGATCTCTTCCCTCGTTGTGCGTGTGGCGGTTTAGAACATGCAGAACAGCGGCCCATTAACATCTTTACATCCTAGCTGCCAAGTACTCTCATGCTTCAGTCTACAGCCTTCACCCTGGTTACGATCTTCCCTCTGGAGCCCGCCATTATCCACTTACAGTGATGGTAGCTAACCTTGCAAAACCTATGCCTGAGCGCCCTGCACTCATGCGACATCATGATGTGACGACCTTCTTCCACGAGATGGGACATGTGTTTCATAATCTCTTGAGTCAGACACGGTACTCCCGTTTCCACGGGACGGCAGTTGCGCTCGATTTTGGGGAGGCCCCGTCACAAATGCTCGAGAACTGGTTTGTGGAATCCGTTCCGAGACTAGAAGGTGCTGATTGACGCGATTGTCTCAGGTGTTGGGAGCCAGAAGTTCTGAAAAAGATGTCGAGCCATTATAGAACGCAAGAGCCGCTCCCAGCTGGCCTCATCGAAAAGATTATCCAGAGGTCCGTCCCTTCACAGCACTTCCCTTTTCCATGACTTGTCGTGATCGTCTAATGGACAGTCGGTACGTGAATGTTGGGCTATTCTACCTTCGGCAGCTCTTCCTTGCCAAATTTGACCTCAAAGTTCATACCGACAAAGGTTTAAGGTGCTTTGTGTAGATTGGCTGAGCTGGCTGACTATGTCTACCATTCAGAGCCTGCAGACTACACCAAACTTTGGGCTGAGATGCGAGAGACGATATCCTTCCTCAAAAGTGGGGAACCTCAACCTGGTCATTGCTCGTTCAGCCACATCATACATGGGTATGATGTGGGGTACTATGGGCAAGTCATGCAATTATCCACCGTTACCTTGACATTCCATGTCCACTTCCATTGTACAGATATACCTACTCGTTGGTTTTTGCCACAGATATGTACAGAACAGTGTTCAAAAAGGATCCTCTGGACCCGGTTCTTGGCCAGCTGTATCGAAATAAGATTCTTTTACCGGGTGGAAGCCGAGATGAGATGGTGATGCTCAATGTATGTTTTACACTAATACAGGAAGACATTGTAATGACCTGCCCTCCCAACAGGATTTTCTTGGTCGACAACCTAATTCAGATGCATTCCTTGATGAAATTTTTGGAGTATCCAGGTCTGGTGCGAACGTAGCTCTGTGAAGGGTATATGTGGGCAGCATATGGATGCCTTACTGGTTAGCTTGGGTTGCATGGATAGTAGGTTTAGCCCAGTTTATGAGAAGGGACTAGGAGTGGGTCATGGATAACATTTACAACTATTAACCCCCACAGCCTGGGAACACAGGATGTATTATTATTCAGTCGCTTCGCACGCCTAGCTGTGTGCAGGGTGTTGTCATAGCACTCCTAAGGATACCTCCATACCGAGAGCATTGCTGGTGAAAACAGTACAGTGACAACACAATTGAGAGCAACAACTGAACCAAGTTTACAGAGCAGAGAGCAATAGCATCACATCAAAATGCGAGTATTGCAATATGGCTGTTTCACCAAAAGTATACACAACCATATGTCCAAGAGCAGGTCCAAGTATTCCGAAAGTGTAGATGTTATCCTACAAATATACATGTATACAACAACTAGGGAGTTTCGACATTTTTTTGAGCAGTGGCACTATAAATCTATACAAGTGATTTACAAAGCATGCCCTCCAACCTGCAGTACTCAGGAACAATAGCTGCATATGTCATGAATGCGTCCACGTCTGCCTCCGCAACCTTGGCTAAACCAATCTGCGCCTCTGCATCCGACGTAGGTAGGGCAGTCACAGGCGTCAGTGATGCAGCTTGTGGAACAGACGTAGCAATGGGGCCACCATTTCCCCCAGGGCTCACTCGACCTGGAGTCAGGTCGGAGGCTGTGAAGGTCGAAGACTGCATTCCTGATGAGCCCCCGCTGGAAAGGGCATCAACTGAGCCCGGCAACGTTCTCACGCGCCCAATGTCCCTCCCAAGGTCTCGGTCGGCAAATCCACCTGCAAACACTGATGCAGGTGCCAACAGTCCCCCTCTGCTTCGCTCCATCTCTTCTTCCTCATCTTCCTTCCTCCTCCACGAACACCGTAGATCCAAGTCCAGATCTGGCTCCATAAGGAGTGCTCGTACCGCTATTGGCACCACTCCCCGGGTTTCCGCCCACAAGAGCATTCACGTTCGTGCGAAGCAAAGTACACCCACTGGCCACCCAACGTTTCCCATGCAGTCTACGGATTTCCTCTTCGAAGCCCCCTAGGCCGCGGCCAGCGCTGGACCCACCGACAACAGATGTGCGTTCTTTACCCCATATCCACCGCGCCAAGTACGCCCCTCCAAGAGAAGCGCGCGACGGAAACCCTGCGGCAGGAGCATTGCGATGTGGCACAACTTGCGCAGAGTCAACTTGCGTGTTCGGCATAAACACCGATGCATTGAATACGTCGCCAACGAGGTTAGCAACGGAAGGAAAATTTGCAGCAGCTCCCGTGACAAGAACCCTCGTCGGTAACGGGGAGAAGTCATATGGGTCGAAAGACAATCCAAGACTTGCCGCACGCGTGTTCTGACCCGAGGAAATAAGAGCTGCGGGACTGGGACTTTGAGCTTGGACGTTTCCACGGTTTCGGGTGACGTTTGAACCCAGGACGCCCGTCGATACCATACGTGACCACCGGACGCGGAAAGAGAGTACCTGACTCTCCAGAAGACATCGAGGATTCGCGCGAAGGTCTCGGAATTCGTTTACTTTTATACCCGTCTCAAAACGATAGATACCCTTTACGTGTGAAAGGGGATAGCTGTCAGGTTGTAGGAGCCAGAAACTGAACAACTTGTCATCGAGGCTGATAAGGCGATGAACAATGCACTGTGGTTTAGACCGGATCATATATGACGGAGCTTGTGTACATACCCTATGGATCCACCAGGAGGGACAATAGCAACCAGACGGTCAAAGGCACTCCAACTTTTTGTGTACATGTCTCGTACAAGAGCACGAGGAACGTCGGCATTTCTTAATGACAAACATCAGTGCAAGAGTACCCACCGAAAGAACAAAATTACCTGCTCGTCAGCATTGCGATATATCTACGCTTTTCATTAGGATCCTGAGCGGGATGGGGAAAGAGGCAATAAAGCCGAGTCGGTACATAGTGTTGTGCGGGTGTCATGAGGGTATCCATAGGACCGAATGATAGGACAGCATCTCCTGGTGAAGGGCAAATAGACAAATATGCAGAGAGATAGTCGGAGGTGAAAGGAGTCACGATCGTATCTAGTCACCTGGGGTTAGAAGCGGGGGGAAAGAATATTGAGGAAAACCCACCAGGTTCAAAGCCATACCTCTCACAAATGTATCGAGACAAATTGGCTGTTTTTCTTCCACTCGTGAAGTCAACTTCACCCAGCCAACCACGAATTCTGCGCCCCTCCTCCCGACTCCCGCCAATAATTTCAAGAACCCCCTCGTCCCAATGTCCTTGACTAACTTGACCCGCAACATGGGACCACATCCCAGTGGCGCAAGCTTCCGCTTCGCCCACGTTGACCCACTCTCCAACAATCATACTGGCAATAAACGTGCTCGCAAGTTGGATTTTGCCGGTGCGGGACCACACGTCTGATGTCCAAGACTCACGGACACGGAGCAGTTGAGCGGCAAGGAGGGACGCATTGGCACAGGTGCCCACCCGAGTAGCCATATGGTCAGGACCTCCAAGAAGTGCTTCGAGAGCTAACGCATGTGTATGTGCCGAGGTATCCTGTGCAACGGGAGTGTTTGCCAACGAAAACGTGTTTGGTGGAAGTTGCGAGTGGAGGGGAAGGCGAGGGTCTAATGCAGGAAATGAAGGTATTGGTGTTGACTTCCACCAGACTACCGCATACTAAAGCAAAGAGATAAGATTCTTGTACCCGTCCAATTCCACTCGACAAACCTGAGCGCAACCACCTATCGCCTTTATCCTGGTCACATCGTGGTTCCTTGCTAGTTTTTCTAGCAGAAAGTCTATTAGGTCGGAACGCACGTGATGGATTTGCGATCGAGAAATTGGAAAAAACAAAATCCAAATTAGTAAATTCTAGGAGACGCGAAAATTTGCTCCCGCTATACACCACGCACCTAGGGCTTTTACCCACATATCGACGGGAGTCGTGTAGGCATCTCCTGGTGTAGTAAATATACCACCTTGAGTCCTAAAAACTTATCAGCATTTGTGGTGAACCGTACTGGCCAAACGGGCAGTGATGCGAAGCAAGTGTACTCGAATTTGCAAAACCCGATCGCGAGGGAGAGGAGATCGGAGAGAACGAGACGCACTGGTATTCTGGCAACTCCGAGTCGAAGTCCACGCATTCCACACCTACCAGTTCCAAGCTCTCGTCTACGATCGAAGCGCGTAGCTGGTCGGTTGCGAGTTCAAGTCCAAGAAAAAGCGCTGGTCCTGATTTTTGTCCTGGTGCCATTCGAAAGCAATGTAAATCTGTGTCAAGCAAGTGCTGGTTGGGTGGTATGAGATATTATATGGTCGATGAGTGATATCGGGTATTCGGGATTGACCAGACAATTGAAAACAAGCGAGAAGGGAATATTCTTGAGATGCGTCTAGCTGGATGACGGAGAGAAATGAGGATGGTCGTGCCGTGAGTCGTGAAAAGCAGGAAAACAGTAGAACAGAGCTCGTAAGTGGACTTGTCGCCGTTGAATGTGGGCGTTGGTTCAACGACCTCGCCCTTCCCACGCTACACACATATCAATATGGTTGCATTTACCTACACATTATAAATGTACATCAACGAGGGTATGTACTGCATTTATCAACCACTATACATACGTGCACGTCCCTGTACAGTTTTTTTCTTTCTTCCGGTTTACTTACAAGGGCTCACCTTGGACGTGCGCTGGAACGATGCTGTGATTTTGCCACACAGTTTTGATTCTGGTTGTCATAACCTCGATCCGCGGCCAACTTCGAAAGCATAGTAGCGTTAACTACAAGCTTTGGTGTCTTCCATGCCCGCGCCAGACCGTGGTTGGTGCTGTGCGAAAAAGCGGGTCCCGCTTAATTGGGAGTAGCAAAATTCCTTCCAAATTACACATAGATGACAGTTACAAATGCCGAAAAATGAGAGACAAGATAAAGAGTAGTGTGACATACAAGTATCTCTAGCATAATTAGCACAAAGCAATTGATCCCTCAGCCGCAACGTTCAACAGCAAGCGAACGGATGGAGAACGATGCAGTTAGACAGGATAACCAAAAAAGAAAAAGAAAGCAAGTTACAAAGAGAAAAACAAGCGGGTTCAGCCAATGCAACAGCCGTGGCGATACATAGGGAGAGTCAGTGACGAATTGGTCTGTACGATGCCGGCGGGTATGCCGAGCGGGATCAGGTGTAGGTTGGGCAGTGATGCACAGTAGGACGAGGCACATCCGACGGGAAGTACACCTTTGAACGTCGGATCCCTGAGACAGACTGATATGATCTCGGTAGCCACGACCCAGCCCTGGCGACTGAGAGCCACCACTTACCACGCGGAGCGCTCAAAAAGCACGTGTGGCACTGTGTTGCCTAGGCAACGGGAGATGATACGCCGCCATCGGTTCAGGTACATGAAAGTTGGGCGGATGGAGAGGTTGATCGCAATGGGAGTGTGTTGAGACGGGAATTACGTGCGTGCGTGTATGTGCACGAGGGTTTGTTTCCGAATGTGTAGGCGTATGTGGGCGGGTCCGGGTATAATGGTGTAGATGGGAATGTGTGAGAGAGTGACCGTGATCGATGGAGGTGTTATGCTGCTTGGGTATTGGAGGGTGATTGTGATAAGCGGTGCTGTCCGAGCAAGCAAAACCCGTCGGGACCGTCGATACTGCCGCATCAGGCAGAGAATGCATCGACGCACTCGGCCGCAGTCCGGCGTATCTCCTGAAAACATTCGCATACCCTTCCTGATCGTCCGAAGACATCTGAACAAGTCGTACGGCATCGCGTATGCGCGTCCTGAGTTCTTCCGACTGCTGTGGATGATATTGACTATAACCCATTGGCCAACAGAGCGCCTTGATCCACTCTTCCATCAGTGTTGGCGTCCACTGTACCCCATTTAACTTGGTACCATGTTTTAACATTGCAACGATATCCTTTGGGTCTTCTTTCTTGTACCGTACTAGTTTCAGAGCGACGCCCCAGAACATGGTAACGCTGATGAGGCGTAGGCCAGGTGCTTCGTATATGGTGTTCATGTCTATGTTATTTTGTTGTTTGGAGTCATGGTATATGGGGTCGTAGATGTGACCTCTGGGACTGTGGGGTGATTACGGAACGGTGAGTCGAGGACGAGGAGGGAGGGGAAGGACTCACTCCCGAGCGAAAGGAAGAGCGACGTCCGGGTCGGCATTCATCCAGTCGGTGCTGCCAGATGTGTTCGTTCATTTCATATGTCGGAGGGCAAGGAGTTGAGAAGCGTACCCAACCTCGAATTTACGGGCTGTGGCGTTAATACAAGCCTGCAACCGCTCCTCTGCGTCATGTACGCCACGTTTTCTCCACTCGTGTCCGAACGCACGTCGGATATAGTCTATATCTCTAGTCGTTCTACGTGTGCTGGAAGTAGAGAGGGATCTGTGTAGGATCATCACGGCACCGCCGTGAATGAAAAGACGAATTTGGGTGCGGAATTCGAGAAGAGTCCTGCTCTGGAGGTCGTCGAGAAGGTCGAAAAGCATCGACCTGGAAAGTCGGACCTCGTTGTGTGATATCGTCGACATGCCACAGGGATACACGATGCGGAAACTTGCTTGGAGGGTGCCAGGGAGGACGGGGACGTATGTACCTTTTAATAATGGCACTGCGGTGACGGGTTTGGACGGACCACGCCACCTCCTCGTGTTTATTGTCTGCGGGGAACAAAAATGGGTCGTTGTCATCATCATTCGCCTCGCTATCAATATTATGGGTATCAGACACTCGGCTGATTGTTGTCGGTGGACAGATCGGGGCATCTGTTACCGTACACGGCCCATATAGCCATGGCACGCCACCGGAATTGAACGTTTGAACCAGCCTCGGTGCACGAGGCTGTCCACAGAAAGGGCGCAAGTATGTGTGGTCCTAGTTCCATTATAGAAAGGCTGCCCGTCCACGTCTATCCACATACGGTCAAGCTAGTCCCTGAGAGTGAGGGCGACAGTACTTGTCCCATGAGGCCCTGTCAGGAACATGTGTCTGCGTCTGTATTCAACGTCCAACCAGGCCGGAGACTACGGGGGCACTTGGGGATCTCGTGCAATCCTTTGTTGCTGCGTGTAAACCCGCCGATGTTGTCGTATTACGCAACGCGGCTGCTGCCGCGGGGTGATCCCCGAAGTCTTTTCTCAGGTCTCATCGATATGCATGCCAGTAACTTATCAACACGCCACAGGCGCCAACCCGCGCGTTACTCATACGTCGAATATGATGGCAATCTCGCCTCACTCTGGGAGGCTGGTGCGTATGTACTGTTCTTGGTGTCGCGCATCACTGAGGACCAGTCGGCCAGACGTTAATAATGGGGTCGGCCGACACAGGGACCCTATGCACGGTCGGCAGTGCAGCGTCTGCGGGTAGCTACAAACATGTAACTCTTCCAGGAACAGAAACCATTGTTCAAGTACCCGCTAGTGGATCCTATGAGTGAGTTTCAAGTGCTCTGTGACAGTCAGGTCCCTCAATTGAGCCTGGATTTTGGCGTAGCACAGTCCGAGCGTGCAAGGGTTGAGATTGTTCTGGAGCCTTCTACTTCTTGTCCGGTAAACGAAAACGTCTTCTGGAGCGACTTCTGAACTTCTTTTTTTTTTTTGAAAAATGTCTCAGGTGCAATTGGCAGTAGGAAGACTCTATGTCTATAAGGGTGTGCCATACACAAACTTCCCCCTCAGTTTCATGCCGGTCTGCTACCGCACATGATCGCTGAGGTCGTGGACTGAAGCACCGGCAAAGTGCACGTGCTGGATTTTTGAGCTTTAAGTGCATCGTTGATGCGCTAGTATGCAATGGTAGTTTTCAGTTTTTGGTCAGTGGCAATGATCGTGTCCGCAAGGCACCCTCCAATGTGCAACTGACAGCGATCCATCCTGAAGCATCGACATAAACGATAATGTAACTCCAACAGATTTGTGACTGGCAGCATCTTCACTCAGGGTCCCGGGTCCAAACTTGTCAAGTTATCGAAAGAATATCTATCTCAATACTTGCATCCGCTCGTGAGAATGTCACGAAGATGCGCAGTGGGGGTCAATTCTATCGCTTCGAGGAATACCGAGTATTGCAGTGAGTTCGAAATTGTCGGGCCTCAACCATCTGGACAACTGTAACCATCGGACAAGCCTTCGGGAAACACCCGAGCATATGGGGAGTGGTGAGTTTTGTGTTACGAGCGTTTCTCTCCGCCCGAGTGGCGAGCCTCAAGATAAAGCGTCAGTATAAGACATGCGACAAGACAAGTCCCGTTGTGCGTCCAATTGTTCATGCGTTCGTAGCAAACGCAGCAGACGGGGTTGAAGATCGGTCGTAATCCTCACAGCTGGTAGCACTACGCGATGACGGAACGCAACCTACGTCTATGATAGCTCGTTAGGTTGCGCTAACATGCAGGACGAGGGACAATATGCATTTGCATAAGACCTTGGTGAGGTCTACAATATCTCCTTTGTCACCTTTGGTGTCTCACGGAACGCTACTGTGCGTTCCATATCGACTTACCAAAGAAAGATGGCAATCGGCCGACGACAATGTTAACTGTTCTTCCGTCTGATATGCTGGGATTCCGACGAGACAGAGCTAGTCTTTCTTGCAATGTACATATTATACACTCTTTCACAGCATCATCTCAACACAGTAAGTACTGTATATTACCTTTGGCCATACCGCTGCAATCTAACCACTTTTCCTCAACGAACCCCGCCAACACTTTCAATGCGCCAAAGCTGGTTGTTGCCATTCCACTTTCCCCACAAAGTTACAGGGGTACCAGGCGTAGCATTCCCATGGTCCGAAAGGTCGACGTTCTGATTTGTCCCAGGGACAAATAACCTAGTATGCCAAGAACCATGGTCATCAATACACGACTGATTGTTGGCCATTGTGAATGTCACACGATGCCTACCTAATTGCCTGTTGGAAGGATGGTTCATCCTCAATGTGCCACTGGAATTGGGTCGGTTTCGCCACCACTCTGGCGCCATCCCTTGGCTCGCCTTCGATGTTGAGATAGAGACCGGAACCGATAGATCTGATTAAATAATTGCCGTTGTATTGGCGTTCGAACATCCACTGTAGTGAGTGTTGGCAGGGTCGCACAATACAACGCCATTGTGGTTATCAACATCACAGACCAGCGATTACAGATCAGATGGATTAGAGCATGCATCGCAATAGGGCTTACTGCTTGGTTGGGACCACTGTGGTATCCGTACCCGATAACTGAAACACATCCGCATCAACTGGTGGAAGACCGTAGGGATGAGGTTAAGACATACTGGAATAATTATCCCCTCCGGACAAATCCAGACAACTATTTTGTGCTTTGACATTGATAAGGGCATAAATTCCACCTGACTGAATGCAAGCCATCACGGTTCGTTCACAATTAGCGACTATCGGTAGGTGTGTGTGGAAGAGTTGAGTTGGGATGGGTGGAAAGCATAAGCCCCACGCATCTTATATCCTCTTCTGCGCCCCAGGTCGCTGCGTGTCAGCCTGTGTCAGCTGAGGGTAACTATGACATCATCCCCCCTTTTGTCATGGCAAAGTAATGACGCACTGGGTGACAGTTCGAGGGTGGTGGTGAGTTGCTGATCTTCGAGTTGATGATTAGCACTGTGGGAAGTACTACTGTCGCTTACCAACTTGCTAGCCTCCCCCACTTGTTGGCCAGTTTTTCAGAACGATGACTTCTTCCCTAATAACAAATTTTCTGTATGGCCACATGCAACAATACATGTATCCTTAGGTACTGCGAAGTTGAATGACATTAATCCATGACGTATTTGTTGAGATAGCAAAACAGTGTGACAAGCAAAAGAATCACGCCTATGATGGTCATGCCGACCCATGCCGAAGCGGAGTATGAATTATCTAACTCCGTAGCTCTGCGCCATTGGCCAGTCATAGCAGTTATTAGAACAGCGCAGGTGGCCCCCAAGATGGGTCGGGTGAGGGCTGAGCAGGCATCTCAGGCCCCTGACCATGAAAGGCGGATCCAAGCTGCCATCTCGGGGGTTGCCAATGGGTTGTACAAATCCTACAGAGCAGCTGCAAAGGCTGAGGGGGTAAATTTTATCTAACCATGCTATCAAGGATTAATCTTGGGTTGACGAGGGTTGCAGGTTGTTTGGCAGACCTTGATGAATCAGGTGAATGGCCACTGTAAAACCCGAGACAAAGCATTCACCAAACTTCAGCTTCTGACCCCTATACAAGAGGAAACACTCGTTGATTGGTGCCGACTGAACTCCAGTAGTGCCACCTCCCTCCACTTCACAAATCTCCATGCTCAAGCATTACAGGTGTGTGGTAAATGCCCTGGAAAGAATTGGCCATGGCACTTTCTCACATATTTGGCCTAATGATCCCTCGTTTGATACTGCACGTTACTAGCATCATCATATAGCTTTTACTAATAGAGATTCCATCTACTTAGCACAACATAGCCTGTAGACTTCACTACTATTTTGTGCCATGCAGCTTCCAGCGGGATTTCAAATTTTGGGGTGTGACTGTGTGTTACTTTTTGTGACATTTATGTGATGGCCAACAAGTGGAGGAGGCTAGCAAGTTGGTAAGTAACAGTATCACTTGCCCAGAGTTGCAAAAATGACAAGAGCTGCAAAATCATGATTCTACCACAACACAATTGATTTTTTGCCCATTTAACAATCTGAGAAGGATTCCCATATATTTTATGACCAGTCCCTATTTTTTTTGTTGTAAAAACAACTGTACTGTGAGGAACAAGATTCACTTGAGACATGTCAATGTAAGCAAATCTAGCTAATGATCAGTTAGATTTGGTAGATCTTCAAGGATAACACCCCCCAAACAATTAGATGTACATATATAGTTATGGTAGGTGTTAGAGACAATGTGTGTGTGGAGGCTGACATAGGAACCACCAGGTGTGAGCTGGAATGTGTGCAAGGATGGCAAGCTTAAGACTCAATGTGCTCAGGCAAGGATGCACATCAGGAATTGAAAAGTGGTTTAAACCTGTTTAAACCTGTCACTGACTGGTCATGACTGTGATTCTGTCATTCCCCATCTCTCTGATGCAGGTTGACAAGTAGATGTTCTCATCTCATGGGGATTCATTCCCCTGTGGTAGCTACCTTTTATCTATGTCATGTATTTGATATCTTGTCTGTTGGGGTGCATCCACCCTCTACTCCTGCCTTTGTACTTCACTTGGCCCCTTTGGGGTTATGACATACATACTTCCCACACTCATGCATGTTTCTCTTTCCTTATTGGGGTGTGGCCATGGATTGCTATTCCTCCACTCCCCCTCAAGCTGGGGTCATGCCCAGGGCTTTTCTGTTAGACTCATGTTCTACTTTGGTTAGTGCTTTGGTGAATATATCAGCTGTCATTTTGGCCATAGGGCAATATTTTAGATTAATTATTTCTCTCTTTGTGCAATCACAAATGAAGTGGTTTTTAGTGTTGAAGTGTTTTGAGTGCTGATGGTATTGCATGTTCTTCATGATGTCAAGTGCCAATTGGTTGTCACCATAGAGCATTGTAGCTTCTGATTGTGGTTGGTCTAGCTCACTCAATAGGCTTTGTAGCCATGTAGTTTCACACATTGCATTTGCCATTGATATGTATTCATCTTCCACTGTGGAGAGGGCTACATGACTCTGTTTCTTAAAGTACCACATGATCACACCTTGATTGAAGACAGATACATAGCCTGAGATTGATACCCAATCATCATCATTAGTGAAGTCAGCATCTGAGTACATAATTAGTTTATTATGTTCTGTGTGAGCTGGGTCCACCTTGTAGGTGATCCTGTAGCTCTTAGTTCCTGCTAGGTATCTTAATATTCTTTTTGTTGCTGTCCAATGGGACAAGTCAGGATTTGCTGTGAAGGATGTGAGTCTATTGACTGTGTATGTTATGTTGGGCCTCATGGCCACTGATGCTTATGTCAGGTGTCCTATGAGTGTTGCATAATTGCTGCTAGGCACACCTTTGATCTCAGTGTCATGTGGGGTTAGTCATGTGCCTGGATCAAGTGGGGTCTTGACTGGATTTGCATTGTTCATGCCATATTTTTGTAGTAGCCCTTCAATGTAGCATGTTTGGCTGAGGGTGATTGTTCTGTTGGTGTGGTCCTGTGTGATCTCAATTCCCACTAGTTTGCTTGGATCACCAAGGTCTGTCACCTTGAACATGCTTTGTAATTGTATTTTTAGTTTAGTCATAAGTTTGGCAGTACTGGTGATGAGTTTGAGGTTGTCTGCCCATACCATAATGATCTCAATCATCATTGAGGTTTTCCTTATGTATACACAGGGGTCAGAATGGAGGTGAGCAAAGTTGATGGTCTGTAGTTGGCTGTTTAGCTCTTTATTCCACTCCTGCCTGGATTGTTTCTGTGACAAGACCTAACAACACAGTTTGTTGTAGGCTCACACCAAGAACCAAAAGAAGAAAGAGAGGAAGAAGAGAGGAGACAGCTTTAGAAGCAGGTGACTTTAGATCTCATAGACCCAAGTGAACTAGCTTGGAGCTAGTCTGGGGATTGAGCAATGGTACTTGTACTACAGTACATGTGGTGATGGTGAGGCATACATGAGGTCCATGACATCATAGTGGAGTGGAATGTACTAGAAGGGGAAACATGTGGTAACAATGAGGCGAGGTCTAGACTGGAGTCTGCACTGAGCCTGAAGAGATAAGACAAGAGATTAGATAAGATGAAAAAGAAAAAGAGAAAAGGAAAAATGTACATATCATAACAGTTTCAGTCTGTATAATGTCTTAATTAGTCTACATTGGTACCCAGTTTTGTCATCAAAACCCTTGGGCTGCTCCATGTATATTTCTTCTTTTAATTTGCCATCTAAATATGCACCCTTGACATCCATTTGTTGGATTTCCCAGTTTTGGGCATTAGCCAATGTTAAGATAAGGTGTATTGTCTCTAATCTAATGACCAGGGAATAAGTATCATTGTAATCCATTCCTGGGACCTGGGAATACCCCCTGGCAACTAATCTTGCCTTGTATTTCTGGAGTACCCCATCCCTGTCATACTTTTGGGTAAATACCCATTTATTTGATATGGGCTTCCACCCCTCTGGTGGATCTACTAATGTCCACATCCCTTTTTTGCACAATTGTTGCAGCTCAGTCTCTATGGCCTTTTGCCACTCTGGTCACTCAGGTGAGGCTTTAGCCTCTTGTAGTGTTTTGGGATCACCCTCTCCCAGGGCACTTTCATTGAACACTAAGTACACTTGTTCCACTGATGAGAGTTCACAGTTCTCAGATGTTTGATTGTTATCTGGTAATTCTTCTAAATTGGGTAATGGATTGTTCAGCACATTGTAGTCATGTGACATCCAGGCCCTTTTGCTTTGCCTCATGGGCTCATCATGTGACTCTGTGTCTGAATGGAACCTATAGTTCCATGAGGTGTGTATCTGCCTTGTGCACATGTTGAAGTACTGAACAGTGTATGGGCCATCTAGGAAGCCCACAAATGGGTATGTGTGCAATCTTGTATCTAGTTTGGAAGTCATTTGGTGTTTGTTGAGGATCCATACATGCAAATCAAACTCTTGCAGATGTGATACATCTGGTTCTTGTCCATGCCACCCCTAATATGGTGTCCTGCTGTAGGTACATGTCCATGCATGGTTACACACATAGACCACATGACTTATTGCCTCACCACAGAAACTTTGGCAAATCTTTTGCCAATAGCATGGCTCATCCCAGCTCTACAATGGTGCAATTGAACCACTCTGCTACACCATTTTGGGATGGTGAATATGGTGCTGTGGGTTCTAGTAGGATTCCCTTTTCTTTGCACCATGTTATCAGTGTGTTATTGATGTATTCAGTCCTGCTATCACATCTGATCCATTTAGGGAGTACATCCTTTTGTCTTTCCAACATCAACACATATTCTTTGACATGTTCTGTGGCTTCTCCTTTGTTTTTCATGTAGTATGTCATAGTGTACCTTGTAGCATCATCAATAAATGATATGTAGTACCAATAACCCTGTATGGAGGTCATATGCAACAGCCCCCATATGTCTGTGTGAGCTAACTCTCCTGGAACTGAGGTGTGATGAGTGGCCTCAGATGGGTGAGGCTCAAGTGTCTGCTTGGCAGCAGTGCATGCTTCACAGTTGAAATCAGGTGAGTTTGGATTGACTTCAAACCCTTTCACTAACTTTTTATGGAACAAGTGGCACAGCCCACTCAGCCCAATATGGCTGAAGTGTTTATGCCACATTTTCCACAAAGTTGTCATTGTCTCATGTGTGAGACTGGTTTGTTCCTCCTTCATAGGTATTGTAAACTGTAGTTCATACAGATGGTTTTTCTGCTTTCCCAGTGCAATGATATCTCCTGAGGAGTTGCACAACTTGATCTGGCCTCCTCCACTGATGGAGTGGCCACCTCATGTGTCTAAGTGGCCAATTGAAAATAGATTATTAGGTGATGGGAGCATGTGTAATACATTGCATAGGTTGATAGTGACTATCCAGTCACCTATTTGGCTATTCACTGTGACTGTGCCATGTCTGGGTACAGTAGCTGGCTTGGCACCTACCCTGGAGACTGTTTTGTCTGGTGGTACCTCATGCTTTGTGATGAGTGCAGATGTGTGATGTTGTAGCACTATCAGCCAACCACACATACATGGAATAAGCCTCTGATTTGGGGGACTTTGTATCTACACTTTTGGTAGAGGAAAATGCTACATTGTCTTTGGAGTCTGTATTCTCCACTGTGCAATGCACCTTATCTGATTGTCCAGAGCATTTACTAGGTTGCTTCCTATCCTGATCTCTGTCTCCACTGCTTATCTTTGTTAACCAGGTTGGTCCAGCACTCTTGAGTAGTGTGGCTGAACCATCAGCAATGTCCACATTTGTTTGTTCTTGCAGCAGCACTTGGACATTTTGTGATTGGTGTGACTGCATATGTCACACAGGCCTAAATGATCAGCCTTACATTTACTGGTTCTGCTACTCTTGGCATAGTATCCACTCTCTCTGCCTTCACATTTGTGGCATTCCCACTCAGTGCAGCATAATGATATTATCTCTTGCATAGATATCTTTGTTGTTTGTGAGTGTGACCCTCTGAGGAAGCTGGAGGTGTAGCTATCCCACAAAGTGGGGAGTGACAACAACAGCATGGCCTGGAACTGGGGGTCAGGCATGATGTCACCCATTTCATACAGCTGGTTCTGTAAGTCACATAGTCTAGTGATGTGATTGGGGAGGTCTGTGTCCTCCTGCACCTTGAGGCCATAGATCTCACACCTAATAGTGGCAATGGACTATTGGCCCTGAGTCTCATGTCTCATGTATCATGTGTAGATTATGCCACAATGTGGCACTAGTCTCCATCTCTGATTGGGCATGAATGGTTTGATCATTAGCAAGATTAGCCATAAGCATTGTGTATGTGTGTTTGTTGCATTTATGCCAGGCATTCAATTCATCTGGTAGGGTCTTGGATGGCTGCAGGTCATCCCCTGTCATGATCTCATACAGATCTTGGAGCTGAAG